TCCTCCTCCTCCTCCTCCTCTCTCCCCTCGTCGTAAAAGGGCAGGAGGAGGGCGAATGGTTAAAATGATGGAGGGAGGGAGGGAGGGGGCAGAGATAGAAACCCCGGCAGGTCCGAAAGATGTAGTCTGTTCGCGCCGCCCCCACAAAGACGAAGGGGGAAAAAAAATTCTTGCAGGAAAATAAAATAAAATAAAATAGCAGACCAAGAACGAGGGCGGAGGCAGCGCGGCTGGCTGGCTGGCTGGCGGGCTGGGCTGGCTGGGTCCCCGACGCTTTGACTCGGCCTTCCCCCGTCCCTTTTCCGGCCGAAAGTGAAGCCCCGGCGGCGTATAAACAAATAAAAAACAAGCGCACCGAATCAAAATAAAGGAGCGTGCGCGCCTCTCCGGAGCCTGGGCAGCGCCCCGCGCGAAGCCAAGTCCCGCATCCAGGGCCGGGGAAAGTTTTCCAAACTTCTCTTGGGCAAGGGCAGTTTTGACTCCTCGCTGGCCCCTCCCTCCGCCGCCGTCCAATGGCAGCCGGCTCGGGGTCTGGCTCGGCCAATGGGGCGAGGCGAAGGAAGGCGCCGTGAGGACACCGGGATTCCGGGGAGCACCCCAGGGTTAGGCGCGGGGCTGGGGGAGGCCTCTCCGGGCCCTTCGGAGCTCTGGCGGGGGAGAAAGAGGCGAAGGGCGGGCGAGAAGGCAACGCCGGCCGAGTCCGTCTTTTGGGGAGGGAGGGGGGGGGCGAGGGCAATTCTTCCTCCTCTCTTCCCCCAAAGGTCACCCTTATTAAACTACCATCATCCTCGTTAACCAGCGTAACGATTCACCTTCCCTAATCAGGGTGGCATCTCAGCCGCGGAGGAAAAGGCGCAGAATTGGGCCACCCCGTTTGTGGCAGCGCAAAACTTTTCTCAAAGAGAAAAAGAAAGCGCCTTTTCAAAACCACCTTATACCCCAAGGCCAGCCGCTGGGTTTTCCCACGGGACACCGACCGTCCTCCGCGGGGGGAACCCCGATTTTTGAATCGTGCGGGAGAGACCGAGTTGGCCTTCCCCTGCCGGGCCGCCTCCCGCAAAAAACACCCGAAGTGGCTCCGCCGAAGTCGCTCAGTGGGGTGAAGAATTCCGATAAAGCTTATTTAGCACTTCGGTTCTAAACTCAATTAACACCTCCATCCTAAATACCTGGAATTAAGGGATGGCGGGAAAGGGCTGGGGTGAGGGTATAGGAGAGGATCGCGCCTGGAACGAAATGCGCGGATTGGTGTTTTTTTATCTTCCTAGAAGCCAAAGAGATTTAATCCTTGCACGGATAACGGGGATGAATATTATTTGATCCAGTTGGTCTGCCCTCTCTTCCTCGTCGCCTTTTCCTTACCTTCCTTCCTCCTCCTCCCCCCACGGCCCCCTCCACCTCTTGATTATTCCATTAAAGACCCTCCATGGCCGGATAATTAACCCGGTGTGATTTTTGTGCCTTTTGCGAGTTGGCAAGAACGCCGTTCGTTTGGTTGGCAAAATAAGAGAATCAGAGGTAGAGAAAAGCTACGCTTGAAAAAGTGTTCTACCACCTCTTTGCGCGTCCTTTATTTATTTATTTTTAAAGGGGAAAGTCAGGGGGAACTGGACCGGAATTTTTGGAAGGGACCGTATTCCAACCTCTTTCCTGTATTTTTGAAAAATTTATTTTTTAAAAAGAACTTTTCCTGGTGTTTTTTTTTAAAGCCACCAGCTTGGGCGAGGTGATGAGAGCGCTCGGAGGCGCGTTTCTTAAACTGGGGATCTTGTACATTGTAATCGTGTGGATTTTCTGCACGGATTGTGGCCCAGAATTGCAAAATTTTCAAAAGGGCGAAAGACGAAACCGGTGGAGGCGATGCCCGATTGTTTTTCGGGGTTTATCCCAATTTGAGAAGCAGTGGGTTTAATCCATGAAGCGCATGCTTCTAAAATGAAAACCAGTTTAAAATGGTCTATATGCTTTTTAAAATGTTTTTATTTATAATAACAGGAAGGGGATTTTTTTTTTTACTCGGGAGTTCAGAGTGGTTTATATTTGGGGAAGCGAAGCTGGGAAACTACAGCGCTTCGGTAATGAAAGTTAGAAAGGAAAAAAAAATCAGCTTCGGAAAAACTGACCTTCTTTTGAGGAAGAACTCAGAGGAATATTCGTATTTTTGAAATGCAGGGAACCGAGGGGCAATTATTTGAACTAAAAGGAAATTTGCTGAAATGATTGGAAAATCCCTTCAAAAAATAAAATAATTCTTTTTCGATTTTTCTCACTTGGTTTTTTTTTTCTGGGGGGTCGAGGAGGCATCTTTCTTTGAAAAGACACAGCAAAGAGATGGGGGAAAAAGTTGAATAAATTAGTAATGTTAAATTAAGTCAAAAAATGTTATGTTTGTGGTATTCTTAAAGGCTCACCTTGGTGCTGTTCTATTTAATGATGATAAGGATCAACCCAACCTTCCAATGTCTAATTAAACATTGGTCGAAAATATGAATGAAATTAAACTAGAAGGGACAGGCAGAAATGGGGAGGGGAACGATTTATTTATGCATCATTTCTTATCATATTCACGAACTGTAAAGAAAGACCTTATAGAATTTTCGAGACAAAGTAACTTTTCTTCTCTTGGAGAATAAATGATCTTACTTGCCCTGCCTGCATTCCTGGTGGCTAATTTACTGGAAAGGACATTTGTATTAAATTACCCAAAATTAAAAAGGAAGATATTTATTGCTTTCCCTTAAATTACACGATGGGGGAGGGAGGGAAACCACCTTTGTCTTTTTAAATAAAATTCCTACGGTCACATGCATTCACATAATTATTGATTCGAAATGACCCCATCCTGTCTCGCAAATTAAAAATAGGAGAAAATTTGGCCCTTTCGGTGAGATGGGTAAAGTCTAGGCGCAAACTTTGCCCTCCTTCGGGGATGAAAAAGCATCTTTACGCACCTCGCTCGCTTCCTTTCTATTCCCTGCCCCATGGAATTGTTTCAAGAATGCAAAAACCTCAAAAGTTATGGGCGAGGACAACCGCGCCACTTCGCCCAACCCCCCCTCTCCCCCCCTGGAAATAGGTAAATGTAGCATAATGTTGTCAGCGGAGCCTCTGCGACTTCTTAGTAGCAATCATCACTCCCTGGAGTTTACTGCCCCCTAGAAGTCAAAAGAATGAATTGTAACCTTTTTTGTGTGTGTGTTAAAAAAAAGTTTTGTCTCTTTGAAGGCAGTGACACCTTGTGTATGGACTGTGATAGTACACACAATGCTGTACACTTGAATAACAGGACCTGATTATCAGTCGTCTCTCCATAGTTTTATCCAAAGAGAGCAGGGTTTCTCAACCGTGCCAGCTTTAAAATATGTGGACTTCAACTTCCACCTACCCGTTAGGTGACTGAAAAAAGATTCATGTGTTCATGTGTTCAGTCTTGTGTGTGTACGTGTGTGTGTGTGTAAGAGAGAGAGAGAGAGACAGATAGACAGACAGACAGACAGACAGACACAGAGGTGGTATTCAGCAGGTTCTGACCAGTTCTGGAGAACCAGTAGCGGACATTTTGAGTAGTTCAGAGAACCGGCCAATCCCACCTCTGACTGGCCCCACCAACCCCATCCCTTCTCTGCCTCCCATTGAGTCCCAGCTGATTGGCTGGGTCTTCTTTGGTTGCCCTGCACAGGAGAATGGAGCTGGAAAGCAGGTTAGTGGGGTGGGGAGGGAAGGGGGATTTTGCAGTATATCCTTTCCCTGCCACGCCCACTAAGCCAGGCCACGCCCACAGAATTGGTAGTAAACATTTTTGAATCCCACCACTGGGCAGACACTGAGCCAGGATGCGTGCAAATAGCTATCGCGGTGTGTTGGCATCTGTACGGAGCAAAGTTTCCAACACGCATTGAGAGTTTCACCAGATGAACATCCCAAAATGTTACAAAACAGGACTTCGCTTTCCTGAACTCTTAGCCAGGCAAGATGTTGTGAAGAAAGGAGGGAGAAGACAAAGTAATGTGTGCCCCCTCCCTCCAAGAAAAATAGGGCTACCTTTGAAATGGGGAAAATCCCCTGCCACCATCCCCTCCGGAAGGACTGGGCCATAGCTTCCCATTCCAAATCCCAGGCAGCATGGCTTACTACCCCATGAGGACTAGCAACTCAAGGAATGGAGCAAACCCCAGTAACACCATTTGAGGAGCTGCTAATATGGAGAGGAATTGAATTGAATGGACTTCCTTGAGAAGCCTGTCCTTCTCCGTCCATTAACTCCCAGAGAAGGAGCATGGATGCTTTGGGGAAGGAAGGAAAGAAGGAAGGAAGAAAGGAAGGAAGGAAGGGAGGGAGGGAGGCAGAGAAGGTTAAATGAAATAAGGAGAAGGAATGAGGGGAAGTAAGTTGCAATAGGAAGGAAGGAAGGAAGGAAGGAAGGAAGGAAGGAAGGAAGGAAGG